GTTTAGATCTTGTGTTTCTCTGTTGATTTTTTGCCTAGATGATCTGTACAATGTTGAGAGTGGGGTGCTCTGGTCCCCCGCTATTATGGTATTACTGTCTATCTCTTTCTTTAGGTCTAATAGTATTTGCTTTATAAATCTGGCTGCTCCAATGTTGGGTGCATATATATTTATGATTGTTATCTTTTCTTGTTGGACAGATCCTTTTATCATTATAAAGTGGCCTTCTTTATCTCTTTTTATGGTTTTGGTTTAAAGTCTGTGTTATCTGATATAAGAATAGTATTCCACCTCATTTTTTCGTAATAACTTCGTATAGCATACATTATACGAAGTTATACGAAGTGAGCAGCCGGTCCGTATGTGGGATCCGAACCCTCGGTGGGAGCGCCACCACACTTCCCAAGCGGCGCACTTTAGCAGTGCGCCACCCGGCCGGCCCCCGCAATCTTGTTTTGTGTGTGTTTCTGTATAAGACACCTTATTCAACATATATAATTGATTATATATGATTACAATTGATTATATAACATTGAACTCATGCCTTACAGCACTATAGCTCATGCCTGAATGAAGCTATATATGTATTTTCTCTGTAAGGCACATCACAGCCTTCTTGCACTTAGGAAAACTAGACAGCACTTCAGCACTATGCTTGGAGGACATTTTAAACAGTAAAATCACCAACAGAAAGCACAAAAATGCAAACATGTGACAGTAAATAGATAACAAAAAGAACATTTATTTACAATATGAGAGCTGAAACAAGGAGGCAGAGCATTGCCTTATAGACCTCAGCCAGTAATGTGTGTCAGGCAACTCAAATTTTTCACTGCTCAGTGCATGCCTGCAAATGACCACAAAAGTACTACAAGTATTGATTTGGGGGTTACAAATACATTTTAGGTAGTAAGAGAATTTGCAAATACAGAATCTGCAAAAAATGAGGACTGACTATTATATTTAAGTAAACAGCTTTCAATCTGTACCTTCATTTTCAACACTCTTTCACATTATATAAGTAACTTATCTTACGGAAATGCATGAAAATAATTATATTCCAATTTCCCAATCAACTTATTACCACATTATTTATATCTCTTTATTTTTAACATTGTAAAATTTACTCTTTTAAAGTAAGTATATAAAACCTGACTACTCATTTAAAGAGAATACAAATAAATCATCAATAAAAAATCCTGAAATAGCATTACCTGTGGGTTCCTTGGGACACACATCTGGCAGTGACTGCACAGGTCGAATGTGTTTTGTCGAATCTACCTCTTTTATAAAGAAAACATCACTGCTGCTTCCTTGAGGCACTGGTGAAGAACTGTGGCTTGAAGCCATTGCATAAAATCACCACTCAACTGAAAATGAGTAAGAAACAAATAACAATTAAGACACTTAACAAAAATCAAAATCCATCTATAAGTATTATGTATGTCACAAACTCTCTTTCAAAATCCTTCAAAGTACACAATTTGAATATTCGCTGTAATTGTGGAAGATATTCATAATATTTTGTTTCCAAAGAAAGTATTTTTCCGGGCCGGCCTGGTGGCGCACTGGATAGTGCGCCGCTTGGGAAGCGCGGCGGCGCTCCCGCCCGAGGGTTCGGATCCCACATACAGACCGGTTCCCGCTCACTGGCTGAGCGAGGCGCGGGAGCAACACCGAGGG